ACGAGAAAGGTGACTGCGCCTGCCATGTACTGGGGTGCCCTGAGTGTCCGTGAGCGTCAAGACCAGAACGCACTGTCCGTTTTCCTAAATAAAATGAACACCCAAACCAACAAACAAAAAGAGCACGGGTGTTCCTGCAGAAGTGTTTAGTGAGCAGTTGGCTCTGAATGTCGTCAATCTTACTGGCCTCTCCGTGTAAACTGCATAAGTTACAGTGCTGTCTTGATCTTGCTTACATTCTCGGCAAAACATAAAAAGGGGACAAATGCAGGTGGCCTGGTGTTTGATCTACGTGAGCATCAGGTTTCTCTTGAGAGTGCAGGTAAGGACTCTTAGAAAATTGCTCTGCGACAACTCCTAAAGCAGCCAGAGCCATTTTTCCTTACACCCGAGAGCAGGATGCAAATAAAAACAAACACAGGCTGTCCTCTAGTCATCTAGAAACCATTGGGCTTAGGGGAGGGTTGGGGAGTAAGAGATCAACCGAAGGACTTGTATGCCTGCATATAAGCACAACCAACAGACTCAAGACAGTGGGGGCAGGAGGACAGGGCAAGTGCTGGGGAATAGGGGAGGTCATGGGGGTGGGGAGAGACATATGTACTACCATTTGTAATACCTTAAACCAGTGGTCAGCAAACCGAGGCTCGCAAGCCACATGCAGCTCTTTGGCCCCTTGAGTGTGGCTCTTCCACAAAATACCACACCCTGGGAAAGTCTATTTTGAAGAAGCTGTGTTAGAACACTCAAGGGGCCAAAGAGCTGCATGTGGCTCATGAGCCGCAGTGGGCCCACCACTGCCTTAAATAATACAATAAAACAATCAAACACACACACACACACACACACACACACACACACACACACACAAACACCATCGGGCTGAAGCAAAAGGCAAATTTAAAAAATATATTGTTGACAAAGCAAACATGATGGGGCGTCTTTGTGAAGATAAGAAACTTAGAAGATGGAACCACTTCAGCAAAATTGATTGGAAAAGGTCAACATTGCCGGCAAGCAAATCAGAGAGCCAGGCGCCTTCAACATCAGGAAAAAGAGGCAAATGACCAAGAGCAAGAGCTGACAGTCCTGGGATTTGCTCCCGCACGGGCTCTGCACTCCACCTGTCCTGGCCCCTGTTCTGAGACACCCAGGACTAGGGCTGCTGCTCAGATGTCAGACTGCACAGGCCTGAGTGCAGATGAACACATAAATCCATCACTAAAACTTACGGTCGGAAACCTTTAGTTTTAAAGATGCACTGATATTTTAGAAAAAGTTCCACTAAATAGGAAAGTAAAATCGATACCCTTGTAATTTACCTCATTGTGAACAACAGGAAAGAAGCAAAAGGAAGGCCAGGTGCTATAGGCATGTCATTTGGGCAGTGTCGGTAGGAAGCAAAAGCCTCACCCTCCCCAAGGAGCTACCAGTCTATTCCCTAGGGATCTCTGTGGGAAGGGACCGGACAGGAAGGAGAATAGACACATGCCCAGTAAGTCTGGGGTGAAATCTGGAAGGTACCTGGCTGTCAGTTACACCTGGCCAGAATGGGCGTGGCCATGGCAAAGGTACGGAATTGGGGATCTTTAACCCCCTAACAGGAATTTGCGCTCTTAGGCTCTTGTGCTTTCGGTTCCTCTTATGCTCCTGGGGCTCTTGTTGCTCGGAGCATGCTCTCTGCATTCACCCCAATATAGGGGACCGATGGACCGCAGCCAGCCTGATGCTGAACTGGACCCGGCGCCAGCACGAAATGCAAGCTCCGGACCCTGGCTTTGCTTCTAGCTCTACCGAGACCCAGTACACACCTACAGTGGGAAGACGACTCCGGGGACCCAGGGATGCACTTCCATACAAATGAGATCACACAGCCTCTTTGCAGATCTCAGAAAGGTCCTTTTTTTGAGCCGTCCTAAGGAACCCATCCCAAGAACACAGTGTGGAGAGGCCACCCCAGTTACTCTGATAACAAAAGCAGTTTAAAAGGCGGCCGTTAGTGGAGACAGACACCAGGCGGATGAGGGCATGAGTGGGAGGGGGAAGGGTGGCCATGGGGGGATAAGGACACATACATCCTACCTTAATCAATGAAGGAAAGAAAAGGCGGCAGACCTCAGCTGCTTGGAACCCCAGCTCTAGGGAAGCCCTGCCCTCCTAAGGGCCTGTGGCCAACCATGCCAATCAGTCTCTTCAGGAAGCACAGCTCAACATGCCAAGCTATTGCATTCGCTAACTTTATCACAACTTTGTGACTATGACTAAATTTCCCCAATACATAAAACATTATTTTTTCCAGAGTAACTAATGGGTTTTAATGTGGTTAAAGAGAAAAGACAGGGCAAGGAATGGACAGATTATGAGAAAACACAATTACAGAAAAGGAATGCATTGGCATAAACCAACTATGTCAGATTCTTCCTTTATCTGCAAAGCCTAAAAATGAGTGTTTGTAAAACAAGTGATATTAATGAAAATGCTGTCTTCACGGAGAACCTCGGAAACCATATGTTCCCCTGACTTTGGCACTGAGAAGTGTATCAACATAACATGCTGAATTTCTCTGTCTGAATTCAAGCCACCTACTCACGTCCTGACATTTATCAACTTGAAATTAATGACACCCTAAGCTAAAGATGTACCCAAAGTTTAAAAAAAAATAATTTCTAGAAAAATGTGGAAGAATTCTCAATGAAGCCAGAATACAAATGAGCAATAGGAAGGCAAAAAAGAAAAAAAAAAAATCAGAAATCGAGGCTTGTTCCTATCTTCTCCCCCAAACCCATACATGTCACCCAAAAGACATGAAGTTTCCACATTCAGAGTCCCTGTCCATACAAGAGGGGAGCCTTTGGCCAGCCTGGTGTGTTCTGGTTGGTTGGGTATTGTCCACGCACTCAGAGGTTGCTGGTTTGATTCCCTGCCTCTGTCCAGATTAGTGGTTCTAAAGCTTTCTAATGCCACAACCCTTTAATACAGTTCCTCATGTTTTGGTGACCCCCAAGCATAAAATGATTTTCATTGCTACTTCATAACTGTAATTTTGCTCCTGTTAATGAATCGTAATGTAAATATCTGTGTATTCTGTTGGTCTTAGACGACCCTGTTGACTAATGAGTTTGCAGACCACTGTATAGGTAATACTTAACATGAACCAGTCATAACTACTCTATATGTGACTGACACAAAGCAGGAATATTCTGGAGTGTAGACTAAATGGCTATATGGCAACATGATAACCAGGAGAGCCTACAGAATCCCAGAATCCTGCCATTGAAATTTCTAGAATCATAAGCTCTCAAAGAGATTGAGTTTGATTTAAAACCTCCTATGAAAGAGACAGTACAAATAACACTTTTTTTTAGTTTTACTTATATTGATCAATAGGAAGGCTAGAACATCAGTTAAAATCATCTTTTCTAGACTGATTTATTGATACTGTGTGCCCTGCAAAATGCTAAGTGCATAACATAAATCTGTCACTTAGAGTTCTCATAACAACCCCACAGGACTATTACTGCTATTCTTGTTTTCTTGCATATGAATAAATAGAGGTAGAGAGAACTGAAATAGTTTTCTTAAAGTTACACAACAATTAGTAAGAATTGAGCTGAGAATCAAAACCAGATGTATTTAAATGCCAGAATGTGTAATCTCAATCATAACATGAGGAGGTAGGGTGGAGCAAAAGTAGGCCTACCATTGTTTGTATGAAAATAATATAATGATTAACAAATAATAATATACGAATAAACTATTTTGCATACTCACAACTTGAGTATACTTTTGGCCCACCATTTATATAGTACTGTAACTCATTTTAATATAAAGTTTAGAGTTATAATAATGACAAAAGTCTCAATTGAGAACATGAATATGTGAATAAACACTTAGCAAAGAATTATTAGCAAATTCAAAGTTAGTTTTTTCATATGTAAATTTTATCTGAGGCCAGTACTATTTCTTATTTAAGCAAAGGCTTCATCTTTTGCATCCTTTAAAATTATTAGCACATGCCATATCAATAACAAGCATATCAAATTTAAAATAATGCCATTCTGAAATACTTTTCAATAATTAAGCCTGGAATAGAAACATATTTACTTTTATTTTTCCATTTTCATTGGCTCACAGGAAAAACAAAATTGGATTAACAATTTAATCTTCCCAGCCCAATCTCAATTAGAAATATGAAGCACGCTGTCATTTGTTGTAAAAATAATTTAAAAGTAAGACTATGGCACCCTTCTATGTGCAATACTTAAATTATGCATAATATTTAAATTACATGCTATAATTTAATTTTGTATTAGGGATAATTAAGGAAGAGGGCTAGAGAGAAAAACAAACCAAAGGAAGACATAGCAGACACAAGAAGGGGAGACAGACGGAGGAAGATGAAGCAAGGGAGAAACTGAGTGAAACCCCAGGGAATGAGAACAAAACATCCTCACGCCCACCTCACCTGGACATCACCCTGAAGGAGAGAGACACAGGAGTGGACACAGAATGGCATGCAGTGAATGACTCACTAATGAGGAAGTGGGCTGGGATGTGGACTTCCATTACTTCATGTTCCCACGTTAGGGACTTCCATCCATCGGGCCCATGGTGTGTGCTCTCACCACCCCCGAGCAACGTGCTGCCCCTTAGCAGTTAGGCCACAGGGGTCGCAAGACAAGTTGATGTCCACCAGAAATGAACACAGTCAGGTCCTTAGCATAACCAGCTGGGAAAACTGACAAAAGTGTGGTGGTAAGTGATCACTTAGGACCTATCACTTAACTGACCAGCCATTTACAACCATCCGGTCTCCACCACAGGACATCTGGCTTGTTAGATCTCCGTGGCACTTATGAACCTTCATTGTCAAGTTTAAACTCTTATCAGAAAGACACAAAAACCCTATCCGTGAACTTCAAAATCCACCCGTTAAGTGTGGCTAGGAGGCTCAGTGAGCCGCACGCTGGCTATGGCCCCGGCCCCTAGCTGTGCAGTACCTGCTGCTTCTCCAGGCGCATCCTCTTGGCGGCATTCCTGCTCTCACTCTCACAGGCCGAGGCCAGGATGCTCTCTGCAACTGCTGAGGTAAGGTGGGAAGGGATAGGTCGCGACTACAAAGAGAGAGAGAGAGAAGAGAGAAAACGTGAACAAGTGATGAACAGTACCATCCAGAGGCCCGTGCTAGTCTCAAAGGAGCTCACGGGGCGTGCAGGAGCATCCATTCATTCCAACATATTTAAATAAAAAGAGGAAATGGAAATCGCAGAAATGGAAAATGAACGCTAGCTAGAGGTAAGGCTCGAGGTGCCACACAGATCCATCATTCATCCCCAGGAGGCCAGGGTGGCGAGGACTCAGTGTGGGCCGTTAAGCTAGGGTGTGAGAGGCAGTGGAAGGAGTGCTGACTGGGCTTAGCCAACAAGACAAGTCCTTCAGGTCTTTCCCAGCCTAGGACACAGCCAGACAACAAGTGACAGGGCTGAAACAGTTGGAAAAACCCGACAGACACTCAGACCGGGTCAAACAACATTAACATGAAATATTTATGAAGACTTACAGTCTAACATGTGGCCATTGATATGATTAAACCCTTCAAAAAGGAGTTCAATTCAAATACAAACTAAAAAGCAGTACTAAAACAATTCGGATACAACAAAAATGTGATGTTTTGGATGTGAGATGTATTCGTGCCCACATGTTTTATTTCTAAAATGTGAGTTAATAATACCCATTTAATAGGCACATCCATCTTTTATGTAGTCCACATAGAAATTAACACCCCAACCACGCTCCCAATTAATTACCAGTTAACTCTTATCATTTGTGATAATCAAGAAAGTTTTTCATCTTTTCCGATAATTACATACAAAATCATCTAACAGAAAGATGAGATCCTTAATGACACTGAACAATTTTTTTTATGAAGATAAGCAAATGAAAGACAAGAAATAACATGAAAATTAAACCAGAGGAGATAAATATGAAATTACAAAATAAAAGATCCTTTGGGAAGCTAGCATGTACAGTGATGTACATTAGGGTTTTCAAAACCTCAAACTAAAATATGAATGGATGCCATTTATTAGAAACCTCTAAACCCACAGAGACCTGGCCTTCATTCTTTTTTGGCAAATGAATGAACCTGAGCAGAGCTTTATGCTACCTGATTCATTTTGCTGCCTCTGGCCTGTAAGGAGTGCTTGAGCGAATGGAACCATGGGTTTTATGTCTCAGACAATTGCCCAGGACGGCTAACTGCAGACTGCAGTGCTTTAACAGGCGCTCCTCAGAGGAACCTGTGTGATGCAGGGCTGTGGCCGTGGATTCCTCCAGACACAGGGCTGCAGATGCCCTCACAGCAGTAAAAGGAGCCAGATCACACAAAGCTTCCATGTAGGAACGTGAGATAAAAAGTATTTCGCCAAAAAAAACAAAAACAAAACAAAAAAAACAAACAAAAAATTCAAAAAATAATTTATGAAGGCAATATTTCCCCTGGTTGCATATAGTTCAGTAAATATTCTATTTATTAATATATATTTTAAATGTACATATTAGATTTTAAAATAATGATTCAAAATGTATACAGAATTATACTCTACACCATTGATCGGCAAACTCATTAGTCAACAGAGCCAAATATCAACAGTACAACAACTGAAATTTCTTTTGAGAGCCACATTTTTTAAACTTAAACTTCTGTAATGCCACTTCTTCAAAAACAGACTCACCCAGGCCGTGGTATTTTGTGGAAGAGCCACACTCAAGGGACCAAAGAATCACATGTGGCTCTCGAGCCGCAGTTTGCCGACCACTGCTCTACAGGATTTATACCTAGATTGATAAGACTGGCTACTGATTTCTTTCCCAGGATGTAATATAATGCTAATAAGCACCCCTCCCTAATTACCTCTTAATTAACTGTCATTTTCAACTGAGATGTGCTTATCTTTCCCCAGCCCGGTCCTCATCCTAATAATTATCTATGCCCAGAGCAGTGGCGGCTGTTACATTGAACAGATGGCCACACTGTCACATGGAGCTTTTGGAGTTAAAAAAGAAAATCACATTTTAATGGGGGACTTCAGATGTGACTGCTGTTGGCACCATGTAAATGAGTCTTTCCTTATGTGTGTGCGTGTGATTCTTACCACCACACCAAGCTATTCTAGATTTTGTTCTAAACAATATTAGAGTCTTCTGAGCTTCTGCTGTACATGTGAGATGCTTTAGGATTTTTAAAATTATAAAAATGAAGTAAAAAAAAAATAAAAAATGTAAGATTCTGTTCGTGGGTTAATTCAGCAATGTCTCTAGCCTCTAATGTTGAAGTGTAACTTAATCACGTTATTAGACAAGGCCAGACTGAGAGCAACAGTGACATCCACCCAAGATTATAAGAAGAATGAGCTCCTTCAAAAATAATTACAGTCAATTATTCACTAGTCAGAGTTTAGGTAGGGTCAGAATTAAAACTGTTTCTTCTAATCCTGATATCTTGTAAAAATATGTAATTTAAGAATCAGTAGCTTGGATAATATGCATAACCTATTTCCCCTAAAAGATATCTCTACACCTTAAATGCATGATTCTTAAAGGCTGCACAGAATGCTCCATCCCCTAAGGGATACCTTTGGTTAACTAGGTAGTGGCATTTGTAGACATCAGTGGAATGACCTAACAGTTCAACTACTTGCAATCTGTCTGATCAATTTGCTATTTAATCTCTCTGAGCTTCACTCATCCTGCCAAATATCATTATCTCTATTTTCATAAGTGGCAAAATAGGTTCATTCGATAAGTTCTGAATAGAAAAAAAACACAAAACCATCTTTATGCCATGGAGCAGTTGTTAGAATTACTTTCATGAAGTAATGTACACCAAAATCACTGATATCCTCACTTATTTATTCAAGAGCACTTTCTACATGTCAGGAACTAAATCAAGTCCAAAGACAGGGAGGCTAACACTGCTGTCTCTGCTATCATAGAATTTACTGTACAAGCTAGTACAATGCCTAGCAAGTAGGGTATAATACATATCCAACCAAAAATGTTTAGTATAGACTCTCAACTGGCAATTCTGAAATCCTAATATTGTACACACAAAGATTTTCAAAAACTTGGGGCAAACTCAATTGGCATAAAAATGACATGAGAATACTTACAACCCTTCTTTTTCCTACTTTCTGAGCATAGTCATACGTTTTGTGGCAGAAATAATACATTTGTATATGGGATGTTTCCCCAGATTCCTGCTGTTATGCAAGAACCAGAATATATACTCTTATCACGTTTCCAAAATCTAAAAAGTTTTGAATTCGGAACCTGAGATGATCCAACACTTCAGATAAAGATGGTGAATGTGGGCTAAAATAGCAGGTCGACTGTGCCGACCTCATCCTGTATGGTTTTGGAGGAAATTGTTAAGCAAAGTGGCTCCTTGGCCTGACCTTGGCCACATGGTTCAGGATTAGACAATCATGGAGCTCATCACTTTATTCCCAGTGACTGATCCAAGAGATGGACTTATGATCCAAAAAGGGCCAACCCAAGTCCTTTCATGGGAACCAAGACCTGAAGCTGGGATTCTGCTCTTAGGCTGTGAGCTTTAAGAACAAAGGGTAAGAGCTGCTAACGCAACCTTTCCCAGCAGGTAGCAAGGACCACCAGAAAGGGCCAGCAGTGCCAGAGAAGCACAGGTAAGATATGGGAAGCATCAAACTCCTGATATTTGAGCCCTTGGACTCAGCTGTATGTGAACTATTGGATTGGCTCCCGTTTCTTGAGAAAATTCTCTTGACTGATGCAAAGGAACTTGAAAATGTGTTTGTAACAAACATGCTAATTAATCTTCAGTAAGGTTTTGATTATACATATTTTTTTTCTATGAAGTGATGCTCTATACTTTGGCCTTAATTTTAAACCATTATTGGCTGTTAATGATCTTTCACAAATGCATGGGGAATAATAGTTGGTACCTACATATATGTCTATACTTATATAGTCCTAGAGTTGGTACTTAGAAGTCCATTTAAGTTAATGTCATATGAAAATACTTCTGATCAAAATTAGATAAATGAAATTATCAACCAAAATGATATTTTCACTTTTAACTAAATGACCCACTATCTATATCTCCACTAGGAAGCATCTTTTAATTCTGAAAAAAGTGACTATCTACACTCATGATTATTGTGTATCACAGCACCTTCTCCCTAATAGTTTACATGGGAAACCTAAAACTACACAAAATTCTATTTATACATTTAATGTCACTACCTAGTCATAATAATTGATAAGTAGATAAAAATATGTTTAAAATAGTGCTTTAAGAATTAAAGAGAGTAAAAACTAAATGTGATAAAAAAAAATTAAATGTTATATAATTGTCTTATTTAATGGAAAAATCTCCCTAAAGACTTAAAATATATTAGGCTAGATCAGTGGTCACCAAACTGCGGCTCACGAGCCACATATGGCTCTTTGGCCCCTTGAGTGTGGCTCTTCCACAAAATACCACAGCCTGGGCGAGTCTATTTAGAAGAAGTGGCATTAAGAGAAGTTTAAGCTTAAACAATTTGGCTCTCAAAAGAAATTTCAATCATTGTACTGTTGATATTGGGCTCTGTTGACTAATGAGTTTGCCGACCACGGGGCTAGATGTTCAGTAGCGGTAGCTTTTAAATTCAAATGGCAATTGAAAAATACTGTGAGACACATAGTACACAATAAAAATTAGCTTATCTCCCAATGAATTTCTACCACCAAGTAACACATGAGTAAATACTCATTCACTCACTCATCTTTCATTCAATAATTTTAATTTGATTAAATTGGACATGTATTGAGCAGCGTTCATGAGCAACTAATTGCACTGCACACGACATTGTGGGTGATACAGATACACACAAACTAAGAAGCATGATCCTCAGGAAATAGAACTCTGTGTCAGGGAGCCAAGGCTCCTATGGAAGGCACAGCAATATAAGACAGGATAAAATAAAGCTACAGAAGAGGTACCACAAGTAAAATCTGCACACAGAAGAGAGAGAGAGAGAGATAAGGCTGCTCTCCGCCAGAAGGGAGGGGTAAGTAGAGAAGGGCATCT